CGTTGGCCCGCAGGATCGCTGGCACCGAGGATCGTTGAGGAATGTTGAGGATCGTTGAAGATGGCTATCTTTGGTCCGGAGAGTCGTTGGCACCGAGGATCGTAGAAGATCGTTGAAAAGATTGACTTTCGTTGGTCCGGAGGATCGTTGGCACCGAGGATCGTTCAAGATGGTTGAAACTGACTATCGTTGATCCTGAGGATCGTTGGTACACCGAGGATCGTTCAGGATAGTTGAGGTTCGTTGAAATTGACTATCGTCAGCCCTCGTGGAGCATCGTTGAGCATCGTTGGCAATGACCGTCGTTGGTCCGGAGAATCGTTGGTACCGAGGATAGTTGGCATCGAGGATAAATGAGCATCGTTGAAAACTAAATTCGTTGGCCCGGAGGATCGTTTGCGCCGTGGATCGTTGAGGATCGTAGAAGATCTTTAAAAATGACGATTGCTGGTCCGAAGGATGGTTGGCAATGAGGTATCGTCGAGGATTGTTTGAAATCATCTATCATTCCTCAAAACTATCGTCGGCACCGAGGATCGTTGAGAATGACTATCGTTGGTCTGGACGATCGTTGGCACCGAGGATCGCTGAGGATCGTTGAAAACGATCATCGTTGGTCCGGAGAATCGATGTCACCGAGGATCGTTGAGGATCGTTGAAAATGGCTATGGTTGGTCCGGAGGATCATTGGCACCTAGAATCGTTGAGCATCGTTGGAAATGACAATCTTTGGTCCGAAGGATCGTTGGCACCGAGGATCATTGAGAATGACTATCGTTGGTCTGGACGATCGTTGGCACCCAGGATCGCAGAGATTCTTTGAAAACAATCATCGTTGGTCCGGAGGGTTGTCCGCCGCGAGGATCGTTATGGGGGTATCCTGTACTATGCTGCATATTGTCGTCTTGGTAAGCTTGATTTTTCAGGAAACTGACTTTCACTAGTACACTGCGTTTGGGTCATCTAGCAGTAGCTTGTGATCACGGCAAGTATGATTCTGCATCGAAGACGTCGGATTAAAGATGTCACCAGGTTGAGGTCGCGATCATTTCTTTTCGAGAACAAAAACACAACATTAACGACGACGACGACAAGACGACGACAATAGCAGCAACAACAACACAACAACAATATCAACAACAACAACGATAACAACAACAACAACGACAACGACGACGACAACGACGACGACGACGACGACGAAAGCAACGACAACGACACGACAGCAACCCGTACTATGAGAACAAGAATGTACGAGTAGTCACGAAAGCTCACTTGCGGGTACAGATTCCAAAGAGAATATCGTTGGCATTCGACCCACTTGTTGTTTTCATTGAAGAAGTGATTGTCGCTTTGACCCGAAATCCAAAACCCAGGTCTGAACAAGAATGAAACGAATTTTTTTACATGTGAATACTCCGTGTTGCGTTCCGTGGGCGACTTTGGAGGCGGAGGATAGCTTGCGGACCAAGACGGGGACCAGGCATCCAAAATAGCTCATATTTTTTACAAGCATTGTCGCCACTGTTCACTATAGGCCAAGCCCGTGGGGCCACCGACGAAACTGGGCTCATCAAATTGCCGGAAGCGGATTTCATTGTCCGCAATTGGCGGATTGTCTGTGTTTCATCTTTTCCTCCTCTCCTCATCGATGCCTCATTTCCCTTCTCGACCCCTCCCCCACCGATCCAATGCAATTCTCTAAACAGCCCTACGGGCTTTCTACCACCTTAGGTGTGTTTCCCATGTGTAAGGATAGTAATCAATGATCACCATGAGGCCCCCGGTAGATTCCTCGACATATTTAGGTGGCTAGGTTCTCGCAGGCGTTGTCCATCCCTCGGGAACTGGCCCTTCGTCCATGATAACCTCCCTACAGTAGAGGGAAAAATCGGAAGTACCGAGAGCTTCAAGTTCAGGTCATGGAGCGAGAAGTTGTTCGTGGAGAGGACGGAAACAATTCCCTCAGTTTGGTGCGGTGGTGAAAAGTGAAGAACAACAAGAATACCGTAGGCTGTGAAGGGGGGTGTGGGGGGGTGAAGTGCCATCGTTCGACGTCGATCGTTTAGGGACCATCGTAGTCTGTATCTCCCCTGGTGCAGTGCTCCCAACAAACGCAGTGCCAATAGACGTACAATAGCGCCGTCCCAGGTGTTCAAAGGGCATTCCGCAGGAGAACATGGCTAGTAGTAGGTCAAGAGTAGTCTACTGTTCAACAAATGTAAAAAACAACTCCTTTCAAAGTTTTTCGTTTCGCGCAAGAAAACACGGACAAAAGGAGAGGCTAAGCCAACGGCGTACGGCAAGAAGTTGGACACACCTGTGGCAAGACCAGACCATTCTGATAGCCTCGATGGTGCCGATGCCTGCAGCGCGGGGATCTCCCGCCGGGCCGAACCAGTGGTTTTGCGGTGCCCCCGTAGTCCTGATGAATGGAAAACAAATAATGAACAGAATTTTTCAACCAACCGGACGAAGTTGCTCAGAGGTGCGTCGGTACAGATTTTCACCAGGCAGCGAATGTTTCTTGGCCGGAAATCTCGTGTAAAGTCTGAGCCTCAGCATCATGTTGTTGAACCATTTCTCGAGAACAAACGATATTTGGAGCTGCTGCGAAAACAACTGTCTCAGGTGACTCCCATCGATCAAGGTAAACATCTTGTGTTTCCAGGCGGTTTCCTTCCCACCTCGATATTAGGCGACCCAAACCGAAGGAAAAGTATCTTCGGTGATCGCTTGCTCAGGGTCAGCCAACTTGTCGATAACAGTTCATACATTGTCTTTCCAGTTTCTTGTTCATGGAGCAAACAAGCGGAGAAGGTACACAGAATCGACCTCAATCCCCACCTCCCCTGGTGAGCAGCAGTGTTCAAGAGACCGTGAGACGGAAAGGGCGCAAACAAGGCGTCCCAAAACGATTCAATGCCGTACAATACTGGCCAGCTCAACACTCCCACTGTAAAATTCAGCCTGAATCTGAGTTTTCTGCCATATTTTAGAGCTAATACTGTGCTTGATACCCCTGTCGCTGGTACCCTGCAGATAACCCAACTTTATTTTTTACATAGTTCAGGTTCAGGAGATGGTACCGCCGTACTGTTTAATGTTGGGATGGTGAAGAAATGCTCACACAATCGCTACTATCATTTTTCGTTCCCAGCATTGATGTTCTCAATGAGAATCAGGAGCTGGTGTGCGTGTTGCACACCATCGTTGGTGTCATGGTAGTACGTTTCATTCCTGAATTGTCGCCACGCGCAAGAATAATTGCTTTGTGTGCTTGAACTCTCCTTGGACGGCAACAACAACGTCTTCTCCCTCATGCATGTAGGTAGAATGAGGTTTCGATCGAAGCTGCTCCACATTGACGAAGACCAACCAACACATGCGGACAGCATACTTCACCAAGGGACGAGCAACACCCACGCCCCGAATAGGTCTGAACGCACATGACAAGTCGCAACAAGTGCCCACCCTTACAGATGGTGCACAGATGGATGCCAACACGAAACAGCAGTCGCGGGACGGGCACGAGCATTTTGCTGGCTTGCTGCTGTTCTTTTTTCCTCCGGCGACTTGGGTCTTACCACCACGGGTCGTTCTGATACCGTTCCCAATCCACACTGACATTTTCTTATGCTGGCACCCTTCCTACTGCCCTTCTGCCGTAAAACACGTGTACCGTATCCCATTGGGAACATAGCAGGTGCGACCCTCGCTCACCTCGCCCTGATCCCGCAGTAGGTTGTGCCATTGACGGTGGCCTCGAGCACCCTCCTCTGAAAGGACACGTCGTTCGACACCACCGCGGCGGTCAGGTGGTTGTTCATGCGCTCGCACGCTTCAAGGACGGCGTCGAGCTCGTTGTCGTCGTACTCGGTGACCACCTGGCATGGGATGCACCGCGAACAATTTTCAGGAAGGAGGCCGGAGAGTGCGGTGGTTTTGAATATGGGATGACGCGGCTCATCACGCTCGTGTTTGGGAAAGTCAATGCACTTGTTTCAAGTCGGGATTTGGCTTAGGTCCTCTAAGGAAGCCTTGATTTGAGTGACGTCGACGCCTCCTGATGTCAGCCCAACAACAACATCGACCCGAAGACTGCTGTACCTCCGTTCTTCGCCACAGTAGCTCCTGCTGCCACTTCCACCGACACAACATACAGTTAATTGTGCCAGCACAATCGGGGCTCCTTGCGTCGACTCCCTTCCTACGCCCCTCCCGACGTCCCGTTGCCAAAACAAACCAAAGCCGGAAATGCCTGAGAAGGGCTGAACACCTAGTCTGAGACAACAAGCCAAACGTCTCGCTGGTCGAGAGGTAGACACGCGCTGTGAACGATCTCCATGAGGCTTGACACACATCCTCGTCTCAAACAACACGTCACACAATCCTGGTTGGTTCAGGGTCATCCCTCCCTCCCTCTCTCCCTCTGTGCCCCCCTCCCTATCTTCGTTACGGGAGAGATGGGTACTCGAAGGTGGAACAGAATCCGACCACAGAGACCCTTCTACAGCCTACCCCCCTCCCCCGCCCTTCCTCCAGTTATCCATAGACTATTCTCTGACTGAAAAACAACAGACCCGCCCCTCTTGCCTGGAATGGTCCGAATATCTCGGTGGTGCAGAGCGCGAAGTTCTCCGGCGACTTGAGCATCTCCTTGAGCGGCACAAACACCGCGGTGGGGTCCCACGCGCCGTACTGGGCAGGAATTTTCTTGGCTTTTTCCGACGAAAGCGGCTTCCCCCCGAACAACACCTTCGCGCCACTGTTTCCAAGGCAACTTACAATTTGGTCCATAGTCTCGCACTTGGTGTTTTAATCGCTTCCATAGCACCCGTAAACGAACTACCCAACGCTATTAGTGACATACGTACACCCAACAAGTGTTTTTTTGTTGTCCGATGTATTGTGTCGTACCTTATCTTGAGCAGGCTGTCGATGTGCTTCATGCATGTCTCGGTTGTCACGGACAACACGGGCCCCACCTGAAAAATCGGGCAACCACATACGATAGTTCCATTCAACGTTGCCCCGGTACAAGATATAAATGGATCGACTACAGCAGACCTGGATCTACTCGGTAGTGGTGCCCCAGTCAAGGAATAATACTCCAGTGGCCTCTTTATTGCTACTGAAACCGACACTCTCCATCGGTTGGCCGACGCTGGTGGTCGAAGCTAGACAAAGACACAGACGTAACACACAAACACACACAGAGACTGTGTACGTTATTCGTCATTGGATCTCTGCCGAGGGACGATCTTCTCCGGCTTTCCAATAATACAAGATATGTGCGGGTTTTGCATCAAAGAGGGCCTCGGCATACGATTTCGAAAACTGCAATTCATCAAGAGACCAATCAGGAAGGAGGATGCGGTCGCACCGTCAGGTCTTCGAGGGTTCGCCGGGAGGCCAGGCTCTTGAGGGTTTCAAGGATGCCAGACTTGCTCCAGTTCTCGTGGACGAACAGAATGCTCTGGGCCGAGCACTTCTGCCCACTGGAAACGACGAAACAGGCACAAGGAATCGCACCGACTGAAGCGTGCACATCCGCCAGACCGACGAAGAACATTGGAAACAACAAATTGTTGATGGCTTTAGTTTTGTTTGTCGGGTGGATACTGTCTGCGTCCGCTAGGATCAGACAGACTCGACTGTGCCACATTTTGCATTTTTTAGGTACCTGTAAGCGTAGGCGTCCTGGTCGCAGGTGTGCGCCACGTACTCCTCCTCCTGGACGTCAGGGCCCAGGATCTTCCAGTCAAACCCAGCGTCCTCCACCTTTACCTACATGACAACAACCAAGGAACGACGTGAAGTGAAGACGACAACATTTATTTTCACTTGGGTTAGGATTGCAAAAGGCAGACAGATCAGCATGGAACACAAGGGGTAGCCGTCGAAAATGGCACCACCAACCTCCACCTGTTGAGACGGATCCCCTACAACAAGCATATGCTTTCACAGCAGTCAAAAAATATAGCTTCAACATTTGTCAAGGGCCAACGACCGAGTATTGAACGCCGGAACAAAAATAGTAGTGTAGTGCGAGGCATCTGCTTTCTTTCGCTTTGCAAGATTGATTCGAGAAACTCCTTATCTACGTTGTTGCTGCAGCTACCATCGGTATCTTCATCGCTCACAAACACTGTGAACTCTACCCACTAGGTTTATTTTCCGACTGACGGTGGGGTGGAAATGAAATTGCCAACGCCACATCCTAGCCGAATGCCCTAACACAATCAGGACGGCTCTTGCCTTTCCATCAAGGGCTTCGGCTAGAATCTCGGCCACTTTGGAACTCCCGGTAAACTGAGTCACGCGAGGCTGGGCTGAAGTAAGAACCCTGCGAGCGAGGGAAAGAGTAGCAAACGAGGGTTGTCGGAAGCGGAGGGTCATTTTCTTGGTTGGTCGCGGTCTCGTGCTCTCCCCATGGCCTGTTGATAGGATTGGGCATCAATAAAAAAAATAACAGCACACACGATGACAGCAAGTTGTGCCCGATCAGACCTCAACGCGATCATCGGGAAGGGACACGCCGGCAAAGGACGAATGAACAGTGAACAACCGATCACTTGTCCTTGTGCATTAATCTGCTGTAGCACCTGCGCGTTTTGCGAGGCATGAGCCTTTTCCCATAGAATCCACGTGCATTTGATCTTCGTCCGGAACGGCATGCAAAATTATTTGAGTATCCGTCTTACTATGGACCCTGATTTGTAGCCCTCCGTGAAAGCGGTAATCGCGTTGGCATCAACATTATCGTGAGTGTTTGATTGCGCCCCCGGTAGTGCAATCCATAGGGCTAGTTGTTCTCGTCCTCCTACACTTCCTGGTTTGAACGTCGTATTTCAGTGTGTACGGTAAGGAAACCAGCATCGACCGCGCTCGCCAGCTGTCCATGTGCAAAAGACGCCAGTGTCAGCGGGAAAGTGGACGAAAGTGGGCGAATTTCTCGTCAATATGTCTCACCCATGCATGACGGGGCCATCGCAGTTGATGAAGTCGACATCCTCGACGGGCGCTCCGCAGTGGTGGAACAGCCGGAGGGTTTGCTCCATCACCACGGAAACCTGACCGGCGGAAATGATGGATGGATTGATGTTACCGATTGTCGAAAATGAGACAATGGAAGCCGCCAGATGCAGCCTTTGTCGACATTCCCAGCAGCCCTCGACCCACAACATCTACCGCGATCTGATAGAGACGAACCCGTTGCTGTTCTTAGAGTCGTCTTCATTACCGTTAACATTGACTAGGGATATGTAGCAGCAGCATCTTTTCCGGGAGGGGTGCATCACCTTCGAGTCCGTCTTGAAGATGACCTTGTTTCCCATGTAAAGCGCACCCATGAGCTGCAGCACGGGGATTTCTGAGGTAACCAGGGGTTTGGGGGATCGTCATTGGTGTCGGCGTCGACAGAGTAGGAGAAATTTCCAGGGGGGCAGGAAAAAATGGAGGAAGAATAACGTCACCCCCGCACACAAATGTTCTGGAAGCGACCATCGACAAGACATACTTTGATCGGTGTGGTAAATTCGACGCTCAGCAGTACCCGTCCGTCTCCCACGAAAACGCACTCCGACCGCAGCAGAAACAAATCCACCCCCAACTAAACGTGCGAAGGGAAAAAGGAGGCCACATGGATGGCTGGTCGATTCGCCGGGGTTGGTGCGGACATGTCACGCCCCTGGTTACCTCGCAAAGTCATAAATCTCTGATTTGAAACCCAACAACGTTTGAGAACCCATGGACGGAAAGGGACCCAACAACGAAGTTCGGCCCAGCTGTGCACGCATGTGTAAGCTATCACCCCCCACCCTCGTGTGCGCGCGCGGCCCAACACAGTCCATGCGCAGGAAAACTACTCGTCTGATGCTACTTCTGTCGACACCGTGAACTGGGTTAAGTACGCCTATGCATAGATACGCCATTACCACGCTATCCACAAGTCCAGCCACCAAAACCTGGTACACAGATGTACCCTCGTTACTTGGTTGTTCACCCAGGGGAAAATTGAAGGGACTGACTATGGCGACGGGGCCGAACGGCCAGCGGTAACCGGTAGATGCCTGCCCGACGTGGTCGCCGGGGACGCTGAATGACCTCGCCAGCATGCGCACGTTGTCGCCTGGATATGGTCGTCGACAACACGTTCGTGTCAGGGGTCGATGGCCGATGGTTTTCTTAAAAGTTCCGTCCAATTCCATTGATTCCGCGGTAAGGAGAGAAAATGAGGTCGTCGTCATTCGGCACTATTCCGCTCATGGCGGAAATGTGGCAGGCTTCACGGCCGAACCGTAATACACAGAATACAACGAACGGAACACCAAGACCTCGAGCAAGCCAGCGAGCTATCTCTCACCAGCGCAGCAAGGAAGTTGTGATACCTGTGGCGCTTTTTCGCGCATCCTACCACTCTTCCTGAAACCTGGAGAGGTCACGTACTTTATCCCCCCCCCCGCGTTCAACTCAGCGTGCTCCGTCCCGGCTTTGTAGGTATGCGAGATCAACTGTCAAACGGTTACGGCATGCGCGATTATGAGTACACCCCCCCCCCCGCGTTCGCACAGCACTCACCCGAGAAATTTTCAAGGAAACGCCGCGTCACGACCACCTCCCCGTTGGCTTGGGCGTAGCTCTTGGGTGCCACCCTCATGATGAGCCTCGTGAAGAAATCTTCGACTTCAGGCACCGCCATGAGGGCCGCAGCCTTGGCGGTGGCGCTTCCATATGCCAGGTATCTGGGAAGATCAAAGAGTAGACGAACAGCAACAACATGGCATCAATAGAAGAATGAACAAGTCCAAGCACAAGAAGAGGGAAACAACATGAGTACAGCACCTTGTCGTCAGAAGAAGAGAACGTAACCGAGTTTGTCCGAAGTGCTCCTTCGCGCACCCCCCCTCAATATCTGCCAACAGAATTCTCGACGGTATGCCGTCACACACCATGATTTCCAGTCTGTGAAGCAGCCAGCGAAATTTCAGGCCGACTTATACCTGAGCAACACCCGGCAGAAACGACTATACAGTCCACGTGTCAATGCCAGCAGCAACGACAGCAACCCGCAAAACTCATCCCGGCACCCACGGCCGACAACACCCCCATCATTGGTGCCAACATCAACAACAGCGCAACGCCGACCCAATGAACGCCAACATCGACATATCGAGGCTACCGCCACAACCAACTTTGTCCGTGAAACCGCCTTCAGGTTCTCGCCGCCGTAGTATACTTCATCGGGGGAAAACTTCCTCCATCAGGACTCGAGTGGGCGGCGCTGACTTTGGTACTTTTCAGCGGATATATTGTGGCGTCCGGACAAACGCGCCGCGCAACGACCACACCCACAGCCACAAACTCCGTCATACCGGCGGCAAGCTGACATTATTAATCACCTCTCGGGGCTCTTGAATGGGTTGTGCAGCCCGCTCTTGGAGCACAATTCGAGGCTAGCAACAAAAGCCTGTGCTTCACCCGGTGTAGTCGCGGGAACCTAACGTGGTGGCAAGGGGAAGGAGGCTTTGTCGTGCACCGTTGTATTTACCCTCGTGCATGATGTGAAACGCTTGTCGTGGCAGGGTGCGGTGTCACTCTTGTGTCGATCTGTACTGTTGCTCCCATCAAAGAATCCTTTGGCGATTTATTGACACACATTCGTTGGGGGTTTGCTGGAACTACGTCCCATTGGACAGTTCTTGCGAGCAACAGACCAAAACGTTGTTCGTTCGACGGCCAAAAAGTCGATCAGGCATATTGAGGAGACACGGGGGTAGGCAGCAAAACGTGCATTACTAGTCTGATGCCTCCGCAACTTGGGATTACCTTGAGGAAAGGCTCGCCGTTGAGCGGGTCGGGAAGAGTCTCGTGTGCTGATGACTCCACCCAGCGCCCGCCCACTTGTGTTGTGGCAATGTCGGCGAATGCGAGGAACGAAGGAACATCAACAGCGGCAGCCGACTTCTACGCAAACGGGACCGGATCATAGAGGAAACAGGCGTAAGGAAAAACACAAACCTCTTTGTGTGGCCGGCGGAATCGTCGCACAAAGCAGCGTTAAGTTCAGCCATTCAGAAAGGGGTGAATGCGTACGTGGCGGGCCCGTCAGGTGCTCAGGACGATCCAGAAGTCTAGCGTGTTTCCATGGAAGCACAGTAGAGAAGGGCGCGTTAAAGATGCTTCCACCAGGTTTCGCGTGCTGTTAGGGCCGACTTCAACTGCACCTCTAGGGGAATTTCATGCATTTCGCAGCGTTGACCGCTTTAATTGCGTAAGCTCCGACTGGTCAACCGTGCCACACTTTTGCGCCCCTCTGCTCCACCCGAAATGATCTAAACAAGTTGAGCGCATCTTCCACACTGACTGGTAGGTAAACTTCGAAGTTTGATCGACATAGTCAAGGACGGCGATTCTGCAAATCTTGCCTACAATACAATGCGGTCGGCTCACATAGATTCTTGACGGTGTGAGGGTTGCTTCCGGACAAGCTTCCTGGGTCAACTGCGCGAAAACAAAATCATATCACAGGACGAGGAGATACAGGTCATTCTGGCGAACACAAAATCTGTTTGGTGGGTTTGGGAGGAAAAGCAAAGTCAGTGAACAGATAATCGAAAAGCAGCTCTTAACATGCCCTTGTTCTTTGAGCACCAAGTTGTATCTACCTGCTGGACTCTTCAGGTGTAATGCCGTCCCGCTCGCAAGAAACACGTACTTCTGCAAGGCTCAAGGCCTAATGGCTTCCGCACGATTGACCGGTCATTGCCTCAAATCTGAGGCTCGGTTCTTGTTGAAGGTGCTTGTTTTGAGCGGATCGGCACTGCTATCAATTTTGTGTGTGAGTGACAACATACACTGCTCAGTGAGAAGACCTACAGAAAACAGATTTAAAGATTTCTATTGCCCAACAGGTGAGCCTCAACATTGTGTGTATGTGTACTTCAACGTGTCTTTGAGAATTGGCTAGAATGGGTGAATAGGCGTCTTCTGTGTTCTGGAGATGAGCACATACAGATATGGCCATTTCTTTACTTCTTGCAGGTGTATTCAATACCTGGTACTGTTTAATTTAATAGCATGCATCGTTAGTATCCGTCTCTTCATTTAGACAGAAACATTGTCGCGGTTGGAACGGTGGAATCAGTTCGGGGTGTCGTTTGCCGGTACTACTGCTAAACTCTTTTTAGACTATAGTCTGGCACATCCAAAGTTGGAGTCACCCTCCGTCTTTCCTCTCCTTCCGCCCTTATTGTGTCCGTCTTCTGGGGAAACTCTCCGTAGTTAAGACACAATCTACATATGCATACGCACATCTCAACACAGAGCGATTGTCTGGCCCACTGCCTCCGAGCGAAAAAGAGTAGACTACTCTGTGGCTTCGTTGTTTACGGTTGCCCAATGAGCGACGCGAGTTCTCTTTCGGCCATGAACCTACATTCGCTCGAACTCGCTTTGTTTGTACCCACAGAGAGAGCACTTGCGGCCGCTCTCCGCAAACACCATATCTACGTATCTCCCGGCCGACAAGATGTTTCTACGGATTGTAGATATCATCATGGAGGGATCTATGCAAATCTCACCTGATGCAAAAGCCAGCGAGGACATGCTTCTGCTGCAGATTGGCGCATGACGCCTGGTGACCACTGGTGTGACACGTTGGAGGCGTAGAAGCCCAGCGCTGGAATGCGGCAGCCCTTTGAGCATCATCCTCGGTCGTCACCAAACAAACCAGCTCGTGGTCGAAACCCGCTCGCTCTATTGTATAAGATTGTTGTTGTTACAACAGTAGGCACTGTAGAGCGCCCGCCGCGTGTTTGAACTCCAGATGATCGTCAACCCCCCCGAACGAGTGATGGACACCTCTGGAAGGAAATTGTGAGCTGCTTCCCTACGCGTGGCGTGCGACCTCAACTGCTGTCTTGTTGTCCTTTGGTTCAAAAGTTTGCCAGAGTGCAAAGAGTTGTGTTCAACGTTCAACGTTAACGTTCAACGCAAAGATTTTTTTTTTATTGCACCGCACCGCTCGTGCGTCGTGTTGCGCCGCACTCGTCAGTACTGAACAATCTGCGAACCCCCTCCCCACCTTGCTTGCCCTTGGCCTGCTGGGTGTGGGGGCATCCCTCTCCACTTCTCCAGTGCTGCAGCTTTCCAGTTGCTATCTCTGTCAATCTCTGCAGCGTAACCACCCTCCCACGCTCCGCCACGCCCGAGCACCACCACAAGAGGATCAAGTTGGGCGAGGTGAGATGCAGCGTTCGAAGTTTGACACGCTATGTACATACGACATCTTCAACAAACAGCGGCTTTTTTAGCATGTCCCCACCCGCCCGTTTACAAACTACACTGGAGAGGCCTCCTTGTAGAGTAGTCTATCGTCTATAATACCACGTTTACACTAGGTCATCATCCCGGCGGCTTGCTTCCAGTCGCTCCTTTGCCCCTTGAAGTAACCAATTGTCGAGACCGTGTCGATCGTTTTTAGTCTCTTACGTACAAGGGGTTGAAACTTGCTCCCCGGCGGAGCCGTCTGTTGTAACGTTTCTCTTACGGCGGGGATTGAAGGGGGGCAGAAGACGAATTTTTGAGGGTGACTAATTTTGAAAACAAACGCAAGAGCACCAGAAATTGCACAACGGGCACACCAGACCAGTAGCATGGCACCGCGAAAAACAGAGATCGATTATTCTCGCACAGGGCGGCAGTAGAGGCTGCTCAAAACGTACATTTCACGCCTCTACCTCCACATGCCTTCTTTGAAATTTGATAAAAATTCCACACCATTTCTAAATTTTAGTCAAGAGAGCCAAAACGGAGACGCTCGAACAAGGTCAATTTGAGTGTTATGTGTCGCATTCTTTGTCATCAGTACTGTAGAGGACATCATGAAGAGGCGTCGTGCGTGCTGGCACGTTCAGGTTTACTACTGTACTGGAGCTGAAATATCGAAGGTCGCAGCAGCCTCTGACAACAGTCCGAAATCTGCACCGGAACCAAGGGGTTTACAGCAAATAGCTGATGCCACTAGTTACTGCTGTTAACCCGCAGTTCAGGGGTTTACGGCCCGTGGCGGTGAGCACGGCTGTGACAAATGTTGGATGCCGCTTGGTTCCGGCGCAGATTTCGGACTGTTTTCAGAGGCTGCTGCGACCTTCGATATTTCAGCTCCCGTAGCAAACCTGAACGTGCCAGCACGCACGACGCCTCATGGTGTCCTCTACTGATGACAATTGAATGCCTAACCTTACCCTGGCGGGACGGTTGTTTTCTTTCTTTGTATAGGATTAAAGTATGGGATAAAGAGCCAGCGTCACAACCCCTTTAAGGAAAGGGTAGAACGATCCCTCTGAAAATTAGCTTGCCAAGCATTCAAATGCTGGTTTGGCCACGCACGTGCCGGCCAGGCTTGCAGCAACTGCATTATGTTTCCAGGGTCTTGCATGCTGCACATCCACTTTATCGATGTGATCGACAGTTGTACGTCTCTGTCGGAACTGACCTGCACAGCAGTCTGCATGTCAAAATTAAACCTAGTCGTCGATACAAGGTGTCATGTTTTACCCTGTTGCTGCTCCATTCTCGGCGCTATGCGACGCCCCTCTGCCCGAGCAACCTCTGAAAGCTCAGCTGGGATCACGGATTTACGGCGGTACAAATAGATCTACTGCTGTTGTAGTTCGCAATAGTGTACCACGCTTGAGTGTTGACCGGGACGTACATATTGTAGTACAGCAGCTCGCCGATATGCCAGCTGATTCTACCGCACTCCTTTTTCCAACTGGTGTTTTGTTGTTGCAGTTTCCCATATGTCAGGTGCCCCCGGACGGACGCGATGAAAGGCCCCCGCTGTGTCGTGGAGGGCTGCGAGTCCGTCGCCAGTCGAGCCCCCCCCGGCGGCACCGCTGGAATCGTCTGCATCCAGCACTCGCAGCCGGGGATGGTGAACTTGGTCAACTGGACGCAGTGCTCGGGTTCGAACTGCGGGAAGTATCCTACCTACGGGGTAGAGGGGACCAGCAACCGGGAATATTGCCGGGAGCATGCGTTGTCCGGGATGGTGGACGTGCACCGCAAGAAGTGCGCCGTCGAGAACTGCCCCACGCGAGCATCGCACGGGGTGAAGGGCTCGGGGAAGCGGCAGTACTGTGCGATGCACGCGGCGGAAGGCATGTCGGACGTCGGGCAGAAGTTGTGCCGCTTCAGCAGCCAGGAGGAAGGGGACTGCGAGTCGATCGCGCGCTACGGGGTCCGCGGCAGCAAGAAGCGGGAGTTCTGCTCCCAGCACTCTCCCGAGTGGATGGTGAACTTGAATGACAAGCTGTGCCTCTTCGGCGGCTGCTCTAGGCTTCCCACGTACGGGCAGCGGGGGACGAAGGTGCGGCAGTACTGCTCCCATCACGCTCCCTCGGGTACCGTGAACGTGACCCACAGGCTCTGCGCCGAGCCGTCGTGCACGAGCCAACCGACCTACGGGAACCCGGGGAGCCGGAAGCGGGAATTCTGCCGCCGGCACGCGCTCGAGGGGATGACCGACTTGGCTCACAAGACGTGTGCCCATGCCGGGTGCAAGAAACACCCCAAGTACGGGGTCCAGGGCAGCAACCGGCGAGATTTCTGTTCCCAGCACGCGAAGCGAGGTATGGTGCACCTGGGGAACAAGAAGTGCATGCAGCGGGGTTGCCAGCTGCGCCCCGACCACGGCAACCCCGGGACAAAGAAGCCGGAGTTCTGCTCCCAGCACAAGAAGCAAGGTATGGTCAAGGTGGCTGACGTGGTCACGGCCGCTCCCCTCGCGCCAGACAGCACGCAGAGTACAGAGAAGCGGAAGATCAAGCCGAACCCCTCTGAACGCCCCGTCGATCTTAAAAGGGTAAAGCGCAATCCGGAGAGCATAGAATTGCCCGGTTTCTCGTTTTCACGAGATCCACCGGCGGTTGCACCGGCAACCGGACCTCTGGATTTGCGCGCGGTGGCCGCCTCACCTGCCGTTTTCACCACGTTTTCTTCCACTGCTGCCTCCGGAGCTTCTTCCGCTGCTGCTGTTGCTGCTGCTGCTGCGGCGGCGGCGGCCGTAGCCGCGGCACGGGGGGTGGCGATGACGACGGTTGCGGTGGGGGGGGTAGAAACGGCGGGCAGAGCGAGGGTGTTGGAAGCGGCACCAAGGGGGGCAACTGGCGATACAAAGAGCGCCGCGACCTTTCAGTTTTCACCGGGAAGCAGCGGGGGAAGCACTGGAATGACCGCAGGGCTCAGGACGGCACAACAAGGTGACCTCGGTGCCTCGCGGGCTTGTCAGGGCAGCGGTGAGGTGACCGATGTGCACAACGGAGGTGTTGTAGCTGGAGCCGTTGCCAATTACCAAGGCGAACACGGCGGAGAAGGCGCGCCCGCCGCTTTCAGGGGGCAACGAGCTGATGGTGCTGGGAACGTGGCCGCTTCGCATGGAGTAGCACGAGGCGCTGTTGGTGCAACCAGTCTCGGCAACAACAGCGGATTCTCCGCGCTGCATGGACAAGCAGGGGGCGGAGAAGCAGGAAGCAGTGCTAGCGTTTTTCCTCAGGGCGCGAGCGAATTTCCTGTTCACGGGGGGGCAATGGGAGGGGGAGGAGAAGGAGGGGGCGCTGCGGCTGCGATCGGTGTTCTCCCGTCGTCGCAGCCGCCGGGGGGGGCCGGCGGCAAAGTGATGTGCCCGGCTGCGGAAGGAGATGTGGACGGTGGGGTTGTTGTTCCCCACAGCACAACGGGAGTGTCCGTTTGAGTGATGAACGGCAGCTAGCTGAGGTGTCCTACTCCTTTTTTCATGATCGAACGCTCCGAGCCGAGCAGTGTTGGCGTTTTGGGTCGAACTGTAAAACAGTTTGATTGATGGTGCATGTGTTTAATTTTGTGAAAACACGCAGGAAAAGAGGATGTGATTTGTATCTCTGCTCCGGCGTCATCGACGACCAGGAAGCCGTGATTTTTGGGCGAGGTAACCTAGTGGCGCGACAGTGAAACTAGACGTCATTCACTGTACTATACGCTACGCTGTGGCAGTCAAGCTTGGTGTTTAGATTGGGCAAGAAGCGAGGGGAAGGGAGAAGTGGGCATAGGAATTGGGGGCACCTCTGCAACATGTTTGCACTCTTCGGCGCGTGTGTAAAGGCGTGAAAAAGAAACGCAGTCTTACGAACAAGGGAGGTTTTCTCCACGGTTTCGGCTGCGAAGGTTTCGGCTCCATTGTGGTCGAGCCCAAGGGTTGCCCATGCTCTGAGCTCTACCGCACCCTTAATCGCCACCGCGGATATCGCTTCCTCGTCGTGGTGATGTGGACATCGTTTTCTCTGTCACCGGCGATTTTTTTTCGGCCCGGAATCTCCGTCAACATTCCTCTCTTGACCATTACGCACGTTGGAGGAAACAAGGTTACGCGCGACAAGCAAACCTAGACGCAAACACGGCGATGCGGAAATCGTTTTCTCTTGTCACCGGCAATTTTTTTCCCCGCAGAGTCGCCGTCAACAGTTCTCTCCGGAGAAGGACGCATGTATTCGCAACGTGAGCATCCTGGTACAACAGCGGTAGCAGTGCACCTTCGCCCTTCAGACCGGGAGTCTTGCAGAATTGCTCTCTCTCATTGCTTTTTTTTATTGTTACTACCAGACGCGCTGCCGCGGTAATAACCCGGGCCGCCGGCCGGGACAACGCCACACCGCCCTGAATTGCCGAAGTACGGCTGATCGTTGGAATATCCGTGCCATGCCTCCCAAACATATTTCCTGCCGGAGTCTCTTGAGGTCTAAATTGATACAGCGCCGTGACCGTCAACACATGTACGTCCTGCTGACACCATCCTCCATCCAGAGACGGCGGGTCCATCGCACAAGACCCAACCAACCCAGTACGCCTCACGTGGAGCACGGCAGTTCTTCCGGCAGGTGGTCGAGTACAGACAGCTGGCAAACTTCCACACAGCACAAGCACGCACAAGTAACTATTCACTAACAAAAACCTAAACGCGAACACGGAAAAGGAAAAAACTACAGAAGATGCGTAGCCCCGACCGATCAAAATCCTGTCGTGCCAACTCCCTCGAAAACGCCGCTCGCTTCGAAACCTGGACATCGCCGCAAGAGGGGGGGGGGGTGAGGACCACGCAGTCACACAGTAGGGCACACGGCGATCCAATTTTCAGTCCAAAGAAACGGTTCCGAGCATATGGTAGGCACTTGCGGGTTTCACGATGATGCCCACCAACGCCCTTCTTCTAAGGCCACGTGATTTGGCGCCAGAAGCTTCCAAGGGAAAAAAATGCATCAAGACTGACCGCAATTCATGGGCTGCTTTCCTTAACGTGTCCTTGAAACACTTTCTCTTTCGCACAGACAACCGAAGCAACCGAGACAACAAAACTCCTTCCGTGGCGACATGCCTCGAAGAACGACGTTCATCCAAGAACCAGGTCACTACACAACCGTTAGCGTCCACCTGCATGAAAGCCGCACCGCCCGCGGCGACGGCCTATCTCGCTGGTTGGGCTGCTGAAAATGAAAAACTATATTTAATGAGAGGTTTATACAGCATTCGATTGTACAAATGGCAAAATGGGATGGTTGCTACCCACCGGTATCCGCGTCCATCTCTTTCGGCAAGCTGCTCCTCGGCCTGCTCTTGCCCCCCGCTGAAGAACGCTTCACCTGCGAAGCGGAACCATGCAACACCATGCAACACGACCCCCGTACGCGCGTGCGCGTGTGCGCCAGGAAAGGTCAAGGGAAGAGACGGGCATGGAAGGCACCCTGTTTTACACCTTTCGAATTGACATGAAAAGCGTGCATGCGGTACGAAACCGATACCGGTTGCCGCACCCAATACGAGTTCACACCCCGTCGGAAATGTTCAGGAGCTCAACGGCCGGAACAGCGAAGGGTATCAACGATGACTCCCTGCTGTGCATCGCAGGCGCCTCGGAAATTCCGTATGCGGCATGCCGTACGGCCTGGACGAAAAAGCAGACGCTATTGTACGCTCGCTGCCAATGTGCATACGAACCCGGCGCCGTTACTGCTGTTCCAAGAACAACGCCTCCGTTGGGTGAAGGATTGCATGAACGCTACAGACCAAACCCCATGCTGTTTGAAATTACCGCGTTGCCGAGGCTCGAAGCGGTGCCTGTCGGCACTCTTGGGTGTATGTGTGTGAGTATTGAGCTATGTAGCATCGGCCGCGCTAGCCGGCCCATCGATGAACAGATGTCAGTTTCAGCGGCGAAATCAAGGGATGTGTCGTGTGTGAGGTCTTTTGGTTTCACCCACCGGTCTACACCTTGGTGTACGTTTGTCGCACCAGTCAGGGCCACGCATGAAGAAGGTAAAGATCAGAGTCTGCTGCCGACAAAAAACAAGAGAGTGTACACGATAAATGTCACTCCAGCCAAAACGTGTGCGCGCGCAGTTACCTTTTTGACGGGGGAGCTGGATAGAGACGACGCGTGGGCCAACGGTTGCAGCCCTTTCCTCTTGCAGACTCTCTTGTAGAGAGCATCCGCTTCAGCCGCCCCGCACACCCCGTGCGCCAGACACCAGTCCTGCGCCATGTGACTTTTCGGCCCACCCGGGCATTAGGAAGCGAACGGCGAAGGCGGTGAGTGGGGCAGTCAAGGGAGGGAGAGACAATCCAGACAGTCAAAGACCGTCCGTGAGGTAGTTAAGCAATCAACGGCGACACATGACAAGCAAGAAAAAAAAATGACCTACTGTAGTATTGATTCATGGGGGTTGTTACAACGCGAAACTCAACATTGCTTCTGTTCGATGCCTAGCGCCCGCTTTCCCGCGTTTTTTTTCACAGCCCGGAACGATGATGCTTGAGTTCAACCACTGCCGCCACAGGCAACAAAATCTGATACAAACGCCCGCTATTGACGGCAAATATCCAGTGCCACATAAACATATAGAGAGAGGCATATAAAACACAACACACACGCACACACACCACGGAAGTCCGCGGACTAGAAAGAAATTCGCATATATTTCAAAAAGACGGGAGAATCGTCATTTAGCCAGCCGGTGAGCGCGATCGATGCCTGTAAAGAAACAAATGCAAAACATGCATGCCCACCTACCTCTCTGGCTTTTGTTTCAGCAGGGTCTCGTAGAAACAGCGATCCGCCTGACCCTGCCAGGCCGCCGCGGTGACGTCACAAGCCATCCAATCCAACAGCAGCACAAGAAGAGAAGAGACGAGACGAGGCATCAGCACAAACATCACGAGGCATAAAGCGTTCATTAGGACGTCCATACGGAGAGGGCACACCCCTGAAGCCTTCCACGGACACCAGTAACAGTACCGTAGCAAAGCTCGCTTCTCTACAAAACTACCTCGAGAAGCAGGTAGCGCCGCAACACCTGATGATTTCGTGGTACTGCTGTAGAGTAGTCGTCGGCCCTCCATAGGACTTAACGCGAACAAGAACCCAACCTGCACCTACCAGGAATAACACCGCTGGAGGGGATACACTTGGGTGTGCTACATAGAATACGGACGGTGTGGAAACTCTACAAAGGACTGCGGGGGGGGAAACGTACCCGGAGATTAAGAGGGGGGTTATAAAACAGACGCCGGTTCCCTCCCCGGGGGGGGGGGGGGGATTTTTTCCCCCCCCTTGCGTTTTCCCTGGAGAAGGGATTTTTTTCGTTCCCCTTTTTCGTTTGGGGTGGTGGCAGGGAACAGGGGGGGGCACAAAGCGCGCGCGCGGGGGGGGGGGGGGGTGTACTCATAGGCGTGCATGCCGTAATCGCAAGACCATTGACCTCGCATCCCCACAAAGCCGGGACGGAGCACGCCGGGTTCTCACCGGACCAGGCTCTCACATCACCAAGCGCGAAGCGCCGTGAGGTATTCGGCGAGTCGCATGAAGGGTGCGCTGCATCCTGCTAAGGGTGTTCGGCATCTTGTGCTTACTCCCTTGCGTACGGATGACAGCTGCGTATGACTTAATTTATTTCTGGTGCGTTCCCTTCCAGAGACAGTTATAAGCACTGTGTAACTGCCTCGAGGAT